GCCTGCCTGGCTGGGCCATTCCAAGGGGCCCAAGTCCAGGCGGCCTGGCTTGCTGGAGGATAGAGGCCACATTGTTCCCACACCCAGCTCTGCAGAGGAGCAGGCTGTGGCCAGCACCCTGGCTGCTTCCCTTAAGGGGAGGCCAGGGGCCACCACGCCAGGAGCTGCCACTCAGAGCCGTGCAGCGAACCACCCGACACCTGTGGCTGTGGGTGCTGTCCTGGCCAGGAGTCCAGGCCAGGGATTTGAATCCAGCCTCGTGTCCACCTACCCAACTGACCGTGGCAGGTCAGCAAGTCATCCATCTTCCCCCAGCCTCAGTTTCCCAGCCACATAAGGAGGGGACAACCATTCCCACCAGGGTAGGCTGCTAGGGTGCCAGGATGAATCGGAGTCTGAGCACTGCGCCTGGCACCCCATAGGCACTCTCTCAACTGCCTTGAGGCCCAGGAGGGCCAAGGGTCCTTGTGGCATCCAGGCAGGTGGACAGGAAAAGAAGGCATCAGGGCTGGAGCCTCCTGCCCTCTCCAACCATCAGTATCCTTTGGGGTCACCAGAGTTGATGCTTGCCACCACCAGGACATGTTTCTGTGCCCCTGCCCTGTGACCTGGCTCCACATGCTTAGGTTTGAACGTGGGCACTTCTACTGAAGTTCATCAGACTCTGCCGCCCATTCCATCAGACACAAGTCTGGCTCCACCTGGCCGCCCCGTCCGCCCAGTCTCCCCTGTGGCCCCTAATGTGACACCAGCTCCAGTCACCTGGGAGGGCCTGGGGAAGGCTGCAGGCTGTGCCCAACCCTCGGCAGGAGTCTGGCCCAGCAAGGCCAAGTTCCAGCAATGCCAAGGGCCACCCACGCCCAGGGTCTGAGCCTGACTCCTGGACACAGTGAAGGACTGTGTGTCCACCAGGACTCCAGGGAAAGAGCAGCAGGACACGGGGAAACGCCCTTCGGCCCCTTGGGCAGGGGCCCCCGGGGCCAGCACTGTGTCTCCGCCTGCTCAGAGCCAAGGGGTGGGTGGAGCAGTGAGAGAGAAGGGAGCAGCCGAGGAGTCCTGCCGTCCTCAGCCTTGGTCTCACGCACACGCCACGTGACCGCCTGCCAGCTGACGCCAGAGACAAAGCAGGTAGGATTCCGATGCCATGCGCTCAACCAGGAACGCCGGGAATCCATGCCAACAACGGCTTGGCATGGCTGCCAAGAGCCCGGCCCCAGGAGAAGAAGGGTCCCCCCTCTGTGCAGTGAGGCCTGCCCTGCCGGCCAGCACCACAGGGGAGCCACCGAAGGCCTGGTGGCCATTTAGAAGGAGAGCAGGCGAACCTGGGTCCCAGCTGCAGGAGGGCTGTGCCCTGCAGTGTCACCATGACTAGAAGAGCCACTGCTGTGCCCAGAGATGCCGGCCTCCAGCCCACTGCACACCAGGCAGGCCCTGGGCCATCATGGGCTCAGGACATAGGCACCTGGAGGAGGGCAGTGGCCCTTCTTGGACAGAAGTGCATGCCTTCGGGTTTGGCAGCCTCAGCACGGTGCTGGGTCAGAAGGCTATCAACAAGCCCTTCTGGGGACTGGTGGAGGGGACACCACAGGTGACATCCACGGCCCCCAACAGGCAGGTCTGAGCAACACCCAGGGATTCACCAGCTTCCCTGACTGTTGAAACGTACGGGAACCTGCAGCCAGACACCCTGGTTCTATTAATTTAAAATGTTATTATAAAAGTCTGATTGGATGTAAATCTCTCTCTTAAACACATGAAAGGCAATTCCAAATTTAAGAGACCCCAAATCAGCAGGTAAATATTTCAGCTAAAGGCTCTTCCTTCCAGCTGAACTCCAGCATTATAGAGCATGGTTCACGGGAAAACCCAGCCTGGCTCTAGCCAGCAAGACAGGAGTCAAGGTCTTCTCTGACCTTGAGCAAAATTTCTATCGGAATATATATGTATACACACACACATAAAGTTTATGCATTTACTTCGCCCTCTTGGGCACGTTTTACAACCACAACTACCAGTCTGATTGCACAACACTAATCGTGGCCTCTGCTGGTAACGTCTCTCGTCACAAACCCTCCCAGCCACTGGACAGTGAGTCCTGGACATTGGTGCATATGAGTATCTGAGCCGCCTCAGGGGCAGCTGAGATCTGGAATCCAGACTCCACCAGAAGTCTGCCACCCCAAAACTGGACCAGACAGGGCTGCGTTCTGTGCTCGAGCGCCCTCACCAAGTGGACAGAGACCTGTGGGACAGAGGGTTTCTTTCTTTTTTCATTATTTCAATTTTACCACTTCTACTGTGGCCTCAAAGCCTGTCTGGACACCCCCCCAAAATAGACGGCACTCCCGTGGCAGCAATCTGTGGGCAACTTAACGCAGAGAGTGCAACCGGCTCGGCTAAGAGGTTCTAGCAACAAAAATAAAAAGATACAACAGCAGTTTTTAAAAAATAAAACCTCGTTTTGAAGACAAATGTTATCAACACCAGCAAAACCTTGGGTGACGATGGAACAACTCCCCGTCTGTCCTCCTGCTCTGGCTCCTTGGAGGCATCCAGAGGACCACCTAAGGGGGCAGGTGTCGCCAGTCAGCAGACTGATGGTTCCCAGAGCTAAAGGGCCCTGGCACTGGGGCAGACCCGAGGGCTGTGGACCTGGCACTCCTAATGTCCTGTCCCCCGCCTCAGCTTCTCCGTAGGTCCCCAGGTAAGCCTGGGCTCCAGACCTCTTCCCTGTGCCCACAGCAAGGTTGGTGCAGGCCTCAGGTGGGGACTCTGCAAACTATGAAATCAGAAAATACTCAGAGGTGCTCCCCCTGGGCGGGGTTTGTGGTGCATCACAAAAACGTCCGCTGCAGCCAGGGCAGGTGTTTGAGGGCCTGCGTGCAGCTCTCCAGTCCATTCAAACTTCCCATGGCCTACAGGCCACTCTCAAGTTCATCTGAGAGCAGGGTTCAGGAGAGGGAGGTGAGGCTGGAACCCACAGCTAGGGGCCTGATCGCTCCCTGGAAGGCCTCTCTGGCACCCTCTGGGGACCTCCCTTTCTCCTCCTGTCCCCGTTTGTCCCCCTTCCATGCTGCAACCCAGCCAGGAGACAAAGGCTGACCTGGGCCTGGCCAGAGGGAGGCCTCATCCGGCTCACAATGTGCAACCTGGCCACCTCTCCAGAGCTGGCGAATGCGCCCCTGCCGCCTCTAAGAAGAAATCACAGAAGAGAAAAAATAAACTCGTGAAAGTTTAAACTGCACTCAACAAAGAAAGCCGGATGTGCCTCCTGAGTCGGCCCGAGAGCCACAGGTCAGAAGACTTTCTTTTTCCTTCTTTAAATCTCTGCCCCTGACTCTCCAGCCAGGGCCTGCGATACCCAGACACTGCAGCTCAACAGCCATCCCGGCTGACAGAATACTGGTCACCCCGAAAATAAATATTCCACATAAAAGAGCCATTGTCTCTGCTGGGTGACAATTGTTGCTGTCCTCCCTCCTCGGCTTGGTAACGTCAGAAAGCACTGCCAGCGCTGTTCAGGGTTCCTTCATACTCGGGCAAAATATTCGGAGAAAGGACAATCTCTCTGGGTCTCTGTGAGCCATTTGGCAGGCCTCTTCCTGTACCTGGCCAAGGAACAATTAGCTCTTCCGGGTGGCAAAGCTCCCACCAAATCACCACCTGCATTTCCAGCAAGGCCACTGGCCACTGATGGGCCACTCTGGACCCCCATGGGGAGCAAAGGTCAGACACAGGGCCAGCCCCTGAAGTCCACTCCTAATGAGGCTCTTGGAAGAGAAGGGGTGCCTCCTCCTCAGCACATCCTTGGTCCCCAAGTGGACCCTGGACTCATCTCCTGTACCTAATAGGAGGTACAGGATGCATTCAGGTTGTCCTGTTCACACCAAGTCCCTGGGACAAGGGAAGAGCTGGCTTTGGCTAGTTCCTGCCAGTCTACCTTGCAAATACCGTCCAGGTCCACCTGTAGGCAGGGCTGGAAACTTGTTGGTGCCGTTCCCGGGGAAAAGAAAACTGGGAACTCTGTACTCAGAACATCATATTATAACACAAATGAATGATAATAAACAAATACATTAACAATAATAGTGGCTGTCATTTACAACAATGACCAAAGTAGAAGCCATTTAATTCCTCTCCACGATGGGCCACGTGTGGACTTATGGAAATCCTGTTGTCTGAAGTCTCTGAGATTGGTCATTATCGTCCTTGTTCCTGCTTTAGCACTCAGGGCACAGGTCCAGGGAGGTGACCTGACCTGACCAGGGTTGCACGGTGAGCTGGGCAGGGCTAGATGGAAGCTCAGGGGGCTCTGACATGTACTGACATGAGCTTGGACAATCAAACTGACCACAACTCTGTAAGAGTCTTCCCCTCTCCCCAAACATACACATACACCCCAAAACCTAACCATCTCCACATACAACTGAGAGGGGAGTTCTAGGATGTGCCTGGCCTGGCCTGGAACACCCCTCCCTTCCCCCACACTGCCCGTGGAGGCACACGCAAGGGCACCCTGGACTTCTCTGGACAGGGGGAAGGACCTGCCCCACAGGGTGCCCTCCTGCCTTGCAGAAGGGCTTCATCCATGCTGGGCTAGGACTAACCCAGGGCCCTGCAGGGACCGAAGCAAGGGAGACACCTTTTCAAAGCAGCCAACCGGCCAGGTGTAAACCACACAGGTGAAAAGTGACCTGCTGCAGAGCTCCAGCTGCCCCATGGAGAAAAGCCAAGCACAGGTCTGCATGTGCTAAGGCGGATGCACCACACCCGGCCACGGCGGAGGGGATGATGAGCCTCATGGCCGCACACTGCCGGGCGCTTGGCCCGGCCAGCCTCTGCCAGCAACTTGGAGACCCCTCACCCGGGAGGTCTATGGCATAGCAGGGTCCTACACAGGTGAGGAGCCACCCCGGGCTGGGCCCTGGTTTCATACAAAAACAGAACAGCCATCTCCCCAGCAGCCCACACTGCGGCCCACTCCACCAGGCCCTGCTTACCCGGTTCCTTATGTCGTATCCAGCAGTGAGCAAACCCGACAAGAGCCGGTTTCGTTTTCAGGGCCTCCTCTTTTGTGCGAGTGTTGAGTCCTCAAAAGTCAGTTTTGCTGAGAGGGGATATTCCAAAATGGAGATGCCCTGGCTGGCCCCACTGTGTACTCAAGAATCTCAATCTGGCCACCGTCTGTGGACCAGGGTATTCATTCTCTGTGGCAGCAGAGGGGACCCTGAAGCTTTGGCGAATAGCAACTACACTGTGAGGCCCTGGGCCCAGCTCTTCTGAGGCGCTGATCTTTGCTCCTTGCCTTTGATCAGGCCTGTGAGCCTAGTGAAAAGGAGACAAAGTGCCTTTGGGGGTCTGTTTTAATCCTGGGGCTTACCCATCAGCCTCTGCAGAAGACCAAACTTCTCACCCAATGAGCAATGTCACCCTCTTCCATGGACCAGGGGGAACATCTCTGGCTTCTGCTAATGACTGACCTCATCGCCGACCAGGCCAGGCCAAGCGGCAGCTCCCGCTACAGTGGCATGCCCTCAACACTGTGCCGCCTGCCTCTGAGATCACCCCTGAAGTCCCACCCTGGGGTTCATGTCTGCTAGGTGCCTCTGATAAAGTCATAAATAAAATTTAAAACCGGGAGGGGGTGCCGGGGAAAGCAGGCTAGCAGAAACCATGAGCAAGGCCAGCCCTCCCAGGACTGGAGCGAACTTCCAGCCTCGGGTCCCTGCCAGACCCTGCTGAAATGGTCTCCTGTGGCCCTCCCCAAAAGGAAGACAACCAGGGAACCCAGAGAGAGCGAGGCATAAAGTCTGGACTACACAGGCCTTGTCCACGTTCCCGGAAACAGGGCCTCAGCGCCAGCCCAGGACTCGGGGCGTTATGGAAATAGGCCGCAAGACTGTGGTGAAAGCAGGCACCCGGGATCCAAACCACATCCACAAGGTGGGAAGGGAGGGGAATCGCACCTGTGGCACTACCACCTTGAAAAGCAGGCTTAATCCACAGCGACGGGTTTCCTGTAACCCTGGAGCGGTGTGTGCACGCATGGACACACGTTTTAAAATCCCCAGGAGCCAGAACCAATGAGTTAAAATAAAACAAAGCTATGGCCGGCCTGTGGTGATCGCCTCAGCTACTGAAACCCAACTCTGGAGAAATTAATTTCAGTGCTACCTTAAAGCCCCATAATCCCAGCTAACAAGCATTCCTTCACCTCTCTCCTGCTTCCCACAATCTCCCCAGGGCCACTGGCCCAGTCTGTGTGTGACCCACCTATAAAGAGACATTTATTACAAAAAGTTAAGAGTTGTTTTTCATGCCACGCCACCATAAAAGACGGCAGGCACTCCAGGGCCTCTGGCTCCACGGTGAACTGCTGGGATGGGAGTGGAAGGGTTCCCCTACAGCTCCCCAAAATGTCCAAGCAGAGAAAAAAAAAACAGCAGGGAGGGCTTAGGAGGCAAATGAGAGTTCATTTTCCAAGACAGGGCTTGGCTTCCAAGTAACCTTTCCAACACATCTATCCCCCAAACAGATGTTTGTTCTTTCTATTGTTCCAGAGCCTGTTGGAGCTTATTTTAGGTATTCACCAGTATTCTCTCTGGCTAGTAGCCTGCACACCTGAGGTGAGAAGCTGGACTTCACAGATTCCAAGTTCCAGACTGAAGGACGACGGTGGAGTTCTTGCAAGCTGGCGGTCGCTTCAGGTTGGGGAGCAACCTCCTTCTGGTGTCCCCTGGACTGTAAAAGGCCTGCCCCGCGGAAGGAGCCCTCTGAGAAATCCCTTCGTTAATATTTAAATACTCACTAAGTAGCGAAAGTGAGAAATGCACTTACCGTCCTCCGGAGTCGCCCTGAACGGATCGTGCCCGCAGCGCACAGGTCGACAGTCCTGCCCTTGCCGGGCGACCGCGCCTGGCCGTAGCCAGCGCAGTGCTAACGTGCCCACGGCCGCAGAGGCTCTCGGCCGAGAGTCCCGGGTTCGTAATGCTTGCCTCCTTTCCGCGCTGAAACCTCGGACAGAGCGGTGCGGTTCCCGCAACTCTTGAGGGTGGAACGGCCCGGCCGCAAACACACGGCCAGGCCCCGCGCCGCTCCTTCCTCCGGCATCCTGGTATTCAGCGAGCGGCCGCACTAAGAGTGGCCCGCACGACCTGGTCACCGCGTCCGCGACCGGCGCCGCCGCCGGGG